TTACAAAATCTTGTAACACTTTTTTCAAATAAGGAGTGTAAATGGCGAGTGTTGAGGAAAAATACTTAGCGAATGCTTTGAGAAAATATCCCTTAACATTTACAGTTCAATATTTTTTTTTTAATATTCAATATTTTTTTTTTAAATATTGCATGTTTTAGCTGGAATTTGATCCAACAAAAAGATGTTAAATATTATGTACCTTTAAGAACATTAATTCATTACTAAGTAATATTCATAACGCTGTTCAAATAAACCTATTTGTGAGTTGCTATCACGTATCATCCACTTTATTATCATTCGTAGTGAATATAGTATAAACAATGTTATAAGAATAAATTGCAATAACTAACAATGGAATAAAAAAACAATAATAATTGCAGTTATGTAAGTACCACGGAGCATTCATAATACCTAATGAATAGGAGATCTTTTACAAAAGGAGCCATTTAGCTGTTACAAGTTACCGTTCTGCGAGTTTTTTCATTACTTGGCACACTTTGTTCACTGTGCGTTTTATGCCTACTTAGGTTTTTACAGTATTGTTAAGTTTACCATAAAATCTAGGTCATACTCGAGTCAGTTTTGTGTAATTTTTCTTTTTATAATTTCGTTGGATTAAATTCTACTAGTATCTGTTATAAATGTTATTGTGAGTTGAAATGGATAATCTTTTACACAAAGTTACTGGATGGTTAAAATTAAATTTGGTTCACAGATAGATTGTAAGGTACATAATCTAGAAAATACTTACTTACTTATTATTGTATACTAGGATACTTTTACCCAAATTTACACAGTTATCGCCGCGAAATATGTCAAGTATTTTTATTAAAAATTAGAAATAGGTGCAACTATATTCTTAAGTTTAACAATATCGAGTATTGTTAAACTTACAATCCAATCTAGCTTCGCACCATTGCAGTCTTTTGAAGCATTCAATAAAGAAATTACTGAATTAACGATGTATCATACATAGATTCATCATATTTATGAAATAAATTCTCTTTCATCTCCTGTCAGTGGGTGATGAAGACCTGTCATGATAGAATGAATAATATTTAGGACAGTCTAATCATCTAGCACTGATTTATTTACCGTAAGTGTTATGTAATAGTGGCATTACCTTACTTACATCCTTATTATTATTTACTTTATTTTATTTTACTATATACAATATTATACTATTATTATTTTGTCAATCAATTGAATGTTCTTCTTTATTAAGCTGAATATGTCGTTTATTAATCTCTTTCACTTTTAAATTGACTGTAAATGTGTAATATGCGTTTTTAACGCCATTATTGGCTGTTGGTGTGATCCGAACAGCCGGAGTCCTATATTTTATTCAATGATGTGGCTTGGCTTAGTTTCAAGAATAATGTAATGATACGAATGGATACTAAATGTATTGATAATTACCACATCAATACACACCATAGCATAGTATTATATACGTACATACATGTGCATAAAACATCGTAACAACCCAGTAGCGAGATTTCATATTTTATTATAGAAATATGGCATAAAACCGGGTATTATGACATTGCAAGTTTGCTCGGCAAGGTATGTATGCCTCTCAAAGCAGCCACTATGTAATTTCGGGTTTTCCCTGCGACACAAATCTTGTTATGTTGAGCATCCACGTCGAGAACAACGAATAACTCAACCGTAAACACACTCGTATGTAGGTATTTAGTTTTTGGTTGAACCGTAGTTTCTAGTGAGTTCATAAATAGGTTTTAGAGCAGACATATGCACATTATTACAAGAAATTTGATATAAAGCGTTAAATGATCGCAGTTTAATTACGTTGTCTGCAGTCACTGAATATTATCTGTACTAAACAGAACATCTACTGAAATAGTACTCTCCAGTAGTTTCCGGGCTATAATTGAAAATTAGTATTTCCTCCGGTAGTATTTCTCCAGCAAAACCAGTCATGGTACTGCGACTACCTTACTACCATTGTAGATTGGACATTACTAGCACTGATAAGATAATATTACTAGAGACAGTGTGAAACATTTGAATATATTTATTTTTTTCATATTTCGGTTTTGTTATAATAATAGTAATAATATTTATTTAAACCTTCATAAGTGTACAGTTTCATGCAGTCCTGACTTCCAAACTAGCATGAGCTGTATATCAGGAGTCAGTTCCTTCCCAAAACAAGGATAACAGTTTTAATTTACATGTAAACTTAAACTTATAATTATTATTTTATTCAATTTAGTTTCTGCGTGCGTGTGTGTCTGTATGAGTGTGTGGGAGTGTTATGTATTTTATTTTGCCTTACTTTGTATTTTAACGCTGAATAGTATACTCAGGACGCAATTTATAATAATGAAAAATAATGAAAATAATAATGAAAAACTTAGACACGTTATGCTATCATCTACATCTATAAATAGCACCTTATCGTATAGATTTATAAGAAATAACAATGCCTTCAGCATTACGAAATTTAGTGATTTTGTGAAAGCACAATCAGATAACTCGTCGAAAAATTGTGTTCATCATGAACACAATTTTTTTGATGATTGACTTCAATTTTTACATAAATTCTTAATAATTATCATCGGTTAAATACTACATATAATTTTTAATTTATCGTGCTGCACACCTTTCCTGTATTAATGTTGATATTACATATATCAACAGTCTAGTGTTCTTTTATCACATTTTTTTAATATGACTTAATTTGTATCAGTAGTTATGACGTCAAGTATAACTAAGATCATACGTATATGTAGGACTTGGATGCAATGTAGTTGACAAAATAAACTCTACAAAAATCTGATAAATTAAATATACCCAACTAAATATGAGCAAATATTGCTTTTACCATAACTTCAGCAGTTCACAATGTCACCTATTAATGTACCCTATATCGGATAATTGTCTATTACCTAACAAAAACTAAAACATTGTAATGAAAAATGACTTTAAAAGTAGGTACTTACAAAAAACTTCACAATGTAAACAACCCTAGTTTTAAAAGGAAAATCTCTTTATCCTTTATCCGTCCGTATCTGAGAAAAAATATGTAGGAACTAGATAATAAAAATAGGACAGCGCAATCCTTTAGACATATGGCCATACTATTCATAGCGTTGCCGGCGTAAGTGGCTAGACACGAGCCCGCACTCTGCGCTATGGACGTACAAACCTAGTAAGACACTCACGAAACAATATTAAATTCATACTACTATTATTAATGTGGAAGTATGTCTGTCTGTCTATTCTTTGTCTATCATACATAAATATAGTAGAGAGTACATTCTGCCATACATAAAAATGAAAAGTAATTATCCATAAGTAAAGACGTTAACGTAAGTTAATGTTTGATGTTAAAATAAATGGTTCTTACTCAAGCCAAATAATAGACTAAATTTTATCTCAAATGAAGCAGACTAAATAGCGGGTAAATGCTATTACTATTATAAATTAATATGAAATTAGAATTAGCGAGTGTCGTGGTCTTAACCATATACTTCGAATGTCTTCATTCTGGCAAACTGTACAAAAACTTTGAATGTAAATGCATATTCATGACTAACTCTCCAGTAATGGAAACATATCGCTGAACAAACCAAGTTAATCCGAGAGATAACCGTAGACTCAACCTTATTGATATTGAGATGGTGATTGAGATGGATTACAAAGAATATGTCTGATATCATCATCACTGAATATCAGCACCGTCACGGTATTGTCAAAACTTATTTGATGATACAAATCGATGACGCTAAACTTAGCATATCTATTTTATTTTCACAATTAATTTAAAAATTAAGCAATATCGCACAAATAATTCATTTGATAAAATTCTTATTTGACATTTACACGTCATGATATGAAGGGTTAAGCTTCACTTTTATTGTGAGCCGTAGCATCCTTCCCTCCATTTCGCGTCGAATTAAACCTTAATAGGTATACATTCCGGGCACGTTGTCGACCCATGAGAAGATTCCTGTGACGTCACATAGCCTCACAATCTCCTTGTCGCCATTATACAATACGAATACAAACGTTGTTCGATCGCGCTTAAATATTTGTACTAGAAGTTTTTTTAGGATCAACCCGAGCTTGTGAGAGGCATAAAAAGAGATTTTATCGATATAAAAGTCGGTTGTTACAGAAATATCAATGTTCTTACAGAATTTAACATTAAAGCGAATAAATCTGTTGATATACAAAATCTCTGCTTGTATAGTAATCTTTGTTATCTTAACTAATTATAAATATGGATGAAATATGGATGATTTTATTTTAGGCTACTTTTATTCATACAATCATGGTTACATGGACTAAGTCGCGGGCAGTAACTAGTTGAAATAAATCCTTTTTACAGATCGACAACTGACCACCCAATGGGATTCACGCTTGACTAAATAAATAAGAAGCTTTACTTTTTTATTCAATTAAAGAATTAACTGGCACGCACTATTTGGACGCATATAAAAGTATTCCTGAATAAAATACCCCCAAGTGATAAACGACAGTCTGTCAGGTTACTCACTTCGCCTAACTTTGGTTGTAAGAACGATATTCGCATATATTAGCAATCAATGACACTAATAGCTTTTGGAATGATATTCTAAAAGCCTTGAGGCTTTGACATAAGTTGCCATTTTGTAGATAAAATGTACAAAACGACGACTTCGATAGAAGAAATCGGGCCTATGGTTTATCCTTTGAAAATGTTGGTATATCTATGTTTGTTGTTTGGTATATATATAATTCTACTATATGTGTTTGTTACAAACTCCACCTAAGCGGGTTGACAGATTAGAACTAATTTATTTACATATATTTCAATGGGTTCCTGGATACTTTAGAGAACATAATTGTAACATATTTTCCGGGACATATATTTTCATAGACAGATAGTATATACATAGTGAACATACATCTCTCTTTATTTCCTTTGTAATATTTCTCTTACTTCTACTATTTCTCATAGGATATCAAAAGAAGTGGTAGACCACATGCTCGGTTGGAACATTCCAGAAGAACACCAAGACCTCGTACACGAACATTGGCGGAACTTCCCAGCAGTTAGCAAATATTGGCATTATTGTCTAGCACTCATCTACATGATGCTGATGATAACATCGCTTACTGGCAACGGAATCGTCATTTGGATCTTCAGCACGTGAGTTCTCTTAATTCTGCTGCTAAACAAGTTAGTTATGATCTATTTGTTCTTTATATATTAAAGATCTCTAATTAGCAAGACTAGAGTCTGATAGCTGCGTTAGATACATTTAGTTAGTGTTCAAAATAACATACTTACGTTGTCTAGTCTTACCGTGTTAATTTTGTTACGTACTATATTTCGTTTTAAGATCTATATGCCAGTAAAACTACAGAGTGTAAAGGCATCTGAAAGTCATTTCCTTGAGATGTACCATAGACATTCCATTATGACCAAAATCCTTATTGTACAACAATTAAACAGGGATATATATTTTTTCGTTTAATTGTTTCACAACTGTGTGTTTAAAAGGTAAATATTTAGGTAGCTATTTAACAACGTCTTCATCTTATATCCCTACCGGGGTAAACCAGATCATGCATTTTCTCATCCATAACTCTGAAATCCATGGACTACACAAGTTGCGTGTATCAGAAAATGCTCTCCCAACCTACTTTACTGTGCTGAGTGTGACCCAATTCAATACTTTGCTTTTGTTTAAAAATGTAACACGATCGCACTTATATTTTTACTCCTTCTTATATTGATGAAAGTGTTATTATTTTCCTTTGTGTTTTTTTATTTAATATTAATTCATTAAATAAATGGGTCATACATATGTACTTTCTTACTAAAATTATAAACGCGAAAATTGTAAGTTGGATGAATGGATGAATGATGATGATACTCTTTTACGCAAAAAGTACTGAATGCATTTTAATTGTCTGTGCCATTGTTTTTTTAAATAAAGTATTTATTATTGTTTTTTATACTGTACATCAATATATGTCCAATAAAATTATCCTCAAGACGATTCAAATGTCAACGTATATAAAAAAATCATAGACTGTGCTATCACAATAATAAGCTAGGAAAATTCACACAGTGCCATTGAATCGAATCAAAGCTACTCAGAATTATAGGCACAAAACAATGTATTTCAGCATTTATAACAGTTTTAGTTTGTATATATAGGTATAGGTAGGTATATATAGGCACTATAACTGATATAAATACTGAATTTCATTTTTTGTAAATACATACACAATATAAAAATATCCAGATAAGCACAAACAATCATAACACAAGTACTTGCACTGTGCGAGAAATTGAACGTGCGACCATTGGAAATAAAGCGGTGTTCCAAACCGCTAGACCATCGAAGTAGTAATTAAAGTTGTCATTCTAAATTAATGTCCGCATGAAACAAATACTAAAATATAAAGAATATTTAAAAAACCATTTTCGCCACCTTCCGATAATAATGTTACCATTATAGGTGAGTAGCTGAATAAAGCAAAGCTTAAATCCGTCAAGAAAAATGTAAAGAAACCATTTCCGAGGGTCGTTCTCGGGTCCAGGGTTAATAATGTGGAACAATTTGACGATAGGATCGAGTGCTGTTGACTGCCGTCACTCGCGGTGATTTAATTAAGTTTCTAAGCGATCTCAGACGAGACGGCTTGAGTGCCGGCCGGCGAACAAGGAAAAGCCCAATACCTAACTCAGTTACATCAAATTAATATAAACCTTTCTTTATGTACACATATAAGTGCAATTCTAATATTTGTATTTATAAAATCCTAGACTTTATTTGACTATCAACGCATAGTACAAACTACTAAACCTAGATAGCTGGAGCATAGGTTTAATTTATAACGTACGTATCCACTATGAATTATTTTTTGTAGTTTGTCATACAACAAAAAATAATAGTGCTCCATGTAAATCCATATGTCACATTGTAGTATTCATAAAACCTAGGCTAATTAACCAAATTAATAAACATAATTGCTAGGCATACTCGCGCTCAAAGAGTATCTAAAAAATAATGTAGGTATAAGAACATCTAACTAAGTATAGGTTACATAAAAGAAATTAGGCTATCTACGCTATAAAATCGGACTGCATTACTAAATCTCGTTTAATTAAAAACGTCATTCTATTATTCGTATAATACTTACATATGCCTAATTTAATTCAATGTAATTCAGTATATTTATTAAAGATACGAGTAATGAGAGTAATGTATTTTCATACAATTTCCGTATTTTACAGTTACAGTGAAATTACATCTGACAATAATCAATCGACTGATTTTGATGTCGGTTAAGTATTTTGTTTAAGAATCTATAATTTAACAATGATTCTAACGTCACGATCAAATGATTACAGTTCACAAAATAAATATACAGAGCTTTAAATTAATTTCCGAAAATAAAACAAAATTATGAAGCCCGTATTTTCTTCTCACATCTGAGGCACAGATCTTAAACGAGTGTCAGCGCCAAAGTTCTAAACCGCCTCGATGAGCTGCCGCCGCCCCGCACACTTCACGAGTTCGAAAAACGTTTCTGATGTTCCCGATTCCTTTTATAAACGAATTGTATTTGTCTCTTGTTTCTCCTAAAATCTGTGTCATTGAAAGTTCTGTATACAAATACCTAGAAACTTTTTGTTAATATATTTTTCCTATCGATGCTTTTAAATATAAAAAAAAGTTTAAAACTTTTCTACAAATGGAAATGCAAAAGTAAAAAACCATGCAGCCTAATCCGTTGAACATTTTTGGCAAATTCGAAATTTAAAAATGGAACCATAAATTCAAACTTAGATTGGTTTTTCACGCAGCAGATTTATGTAACGGCGATTATAAATTTGAAAAGGTCAGACTCCATTGAACTAAGAAGTCACATACCTAATAAAAGTTACATAGAGTTGGCAACTTCGACTTCATTTTGCCGCACGGATTGTTAGTTTGTGTCCTCAAACTGGCCACAAGTAGTTTCTCTGACTTAGAATAAATTTACATTTTATCTTTTGCCATAGACCGAGATGTGTTTTATAGTCGCTGTAAATTCTGTAGAACGGGTTCGCAAAGTCCCTCTGAGGGTTTATTGAGAACTGTCTGCTTTTCTATCTCAAGGACCATATGTTTTTATGTCAAAATGTTTATACAGAACATTTTAAGTCCATTAAGAATGCTCAATCTTGATTACGTTTCATTTTTAGGATACCGTCCTCACAGCTGTAACTAATACCCTTAATTATAACTTATACAAATAAATAAAATTGAAAATTTGAAATGTCTATTTGTAAATTCAATTTTTAAAATTTACAACTTTTCACTAAATAATGTAAATAAGGTGCTTACATAAAGAAAATTTCGACGATATATCAAAAACATATATTCCATGCTGACAACAGGTAGTTTTAAATATATATTTGTATTTAAAAATCTATTATAGTTATATTATTTATAGTTAGAATTCCTAGTAACCTAAAATTAACTTTTTGCAAGGTATAACCACTTTAAAGCGAAAATTTTAAGCCATAATACTCTCATAAGTGTAAAGTTACCTATACATGTTTGTTTTTGGGACTGGCATTATCATAATATGATAAAAGACCCTAAATAAATGAAAGAATAAAAAAAAATTTTTGGTTTTCTGTTACTCAACCGGTTGAATAGATTTGAATGAAATTTTATATGCACATAGAAAACAGTACTAGTTTAACACGTTGGAAACTTTTTATCTTAATTCCCGCGGGCAATATTTACATGTAGTAGTTTTTGCGAGAAACAGTGAAATAAATCCATCTATTCTTACTCGCAAACTTTCGTTGTAATATTAGACATCTTATATAATATGTAGATTTATAAATCATACATATTTTAGCTGACGAGGTAAGATAGTAAAAATGAGTTGTCTAGCGGTTTAGCGCTCTGCTTTACTTCCAACGGTCGTGAGTTTGATTCCTCGCATTTTAACAATCATGAGTATGATTATTTGTTTTAGTCTGGGTGTTTTCTATGCATTTACAAAAATAAATATTTATGTATTTATATCAGTTGTCTAGTACCATAACATAAGGTCTGCTTAGTTTAGGACTAGATGGCGTTCTGTGAATTGTCCAGTAATATTATTATTACATATTTATATTAATATTCCTTAAACAGTATCCTCTATTAGGACTTTAACTACGGACTTTATACAGAACCGTTACCTAATAGTCAGTGTTGTCATTTTACGTGTCATAAAATTTTAACTTTTTCGACGGTCTCCACGTCGGCGTCGCCCGATGAAGTTTGAACGCACGCCGTTTCCGTGTGATATGACGCGTGTGCGGAACACAGCCGCGGTTAATGTCGATGCCTGCCGAAATTGTATTTACATGTAGCTCGCATTCATGCGACCCTTTTAACCGACTCGATGTAGAGACGTTCTGTATTTTAATGTCTATTTTAGAACTAGCTGTGTCCGCTACTTCTTCCGTATTTAATAGTAACCTTCGATAGCCTCGATTTGAAGATAGTTTCTACGTAAAAGCGCGATAGACAGACAGTTACTTTCACATTCATATTATTAGTATGGAAGGATGTTTTATTCTGTATTATTGTAAAGTTTCAAAAAAATGACGCGTACATATCTAATATTACTTGCTATGAACGAATACATCTTGACTAATAGACTGGTACGAAAGTAGGTCTATAGTTTAGATGACAAGGTTTGTCAGAGTTATCAAATTGTAATTATCCTAAATTTATTTTAATAAGAGAGAGATCTTTAAAAATTCAATAGTTACTATTTAAAAATTCGTGTTTAATACTTACTTATATTGTTAACCCACCCGGTCTTAACTACTTAACTCTCACTACTTTTCTCTTTATATAAAATTATTCGTGTTAAAACCCGATTAACAATATTTATATTGTTAATCGGGTTTAAAAATCACCCCTAAACTACTAAAGTCTAAAGAAATAAAATTTAGTTAGCCAGTTCTTAATAAACAACTTGTCATTATAACTCAGCGGAAAAATAAACCCGTAATTTTTATGTATTTTTATGCAATCATCCCTTAAAGAGTTGATGTTGGGTTGAATTAAATGAGTGTAAACTGCAATAACTGTTCGCAAATTCTACAAATTGTTTTTAATGCTACGAACCTACTAGTATGAATTAGAAACCTTGCTATGTATGCATAAAAGGAATTACATGAAATCACATCAATTTAACAGAACATTTATTTGCCAGAAATAAATTAAAAAGGACATTTTACACTCACAAAATTACCCTCGCAAAGTTATTACCGAACTAAGAAATGCCATTAGCCAGTTTACACTCACCGTTATAAATTTGACTGGGTCACTGCGATCCGTGCATACCAACTAGGGGTAACATTGGGCTACGTAATTTTGACACGGTAAAGATTGGAATAGCCAAGTTGACAAATCGGTTTTACTATTACATGAAAATATAATATTCGATAAGAATATATTTCTTACAATTCGATTGTAATCGTACTTTTTCAAGAAGGGTATATTAAGGATTCTTAAGGGTCGGCAATACGCACGTAACACCCGTGGTGTTTCAGGCGTCCATAGGCTACAGTAACCATTTACCATCATCAGATACACCGTATGCTTGTTTGCCGCCAGAGTAGTATAAAAAAAAACTTTGTATTGGGTAAAAATATAGAGTACCTGTAGTGTACAATGTTACATGCCATATGTATACCAATTGTGAAACTGTTTATTTGCTTAAGTTAAATATTATATCAGTTATTATAGAAAAAAATATCGAAAATGTAGCTTAAATTAAAAATCTTACTACTACTATGTAAAATGTATTAAAATCAGCTGCTTTGTAGGCTGTGTGTCTGTAGAAAGGTGAAGACAAGGCAGCAAATTTCAGGATATGAAGGCATAACTGCCCTACGAAATGGAAATACATGATTAAACTCCCAGGGTCACAAGTTAACCTAATGTTCCTGGTACTATCTATTACAGGCGACGTGTGTACTTACCATCAGGTAGGCCGTGATCTCCAATTACATAAAAGCAAAATACGAACAATTGTCAGTTAACAATTATTCTCGGAAGGAAGATCTTCATTGTACCTATTTTAGAAGTTTACAACTCTCTGCTAGTTGTAGATGCCCATCCATTATTTAAATTTTCATTACGAACAAAACTGACGCAATCTATGGAATGTTAGCTCCAGAAATAGCAAATTTTCATTACCCTATTCTAGCGTGAGCACTATAAAATGAGCGTGGAATGATTCACACTTTCATAGCGAAACCTGTCTGCCCGTAGTACTCCGTTTTCTGATAGTTTGTTGTAACTTCAACCGATTCCTCTGCTCGAATACGATGGAAAGTTCGAAGTTGGTCCAGTTTTGTTGTCCATTAACACATGTAATGATTTGACATATTTGTTACTGTATTTACTACCCGCCTCGGTTTCAATCGACTATTCTAGATATCTTTCAATTATCTATACAAATAAATAAAATTGAAGGGCCTGAATTAACAGCTTTCCACTTAATGCATAGAAAAGTATGTATTTAAAATATTTTTTGTCTGTCTGTGTTTCTTGGTTCTTGCTAGTCTCTGAAACAACTGGACGATTATGAGACTCTCGCAGATATGCAGTGTTACAAGGAATAACTTAGGCTATTTTTATTATTGGAATATTATTGATTTTAATCAAAAAGAAAGTTAAATTCCACGGGGCTAAAATCATGGGTAATTTTAACATATAATATTAAATATAACATAATTAGTTTCTGCCATTACTGTTAAAAATCCTTAGTACTAACATAAAATAATTACTACAGACGGATGCCACAGACATTGAAATTTCTAAGACATACATGACAAATTCACGCTCTATATTGACTCTATATTGACCGCAATCTCACCTGATTCTGCCAATTTATTTTAAATTAAGTTGCAGCTTGTTTTGTTAGCTATGTTGCGATTGAAGCGGAGACAAGGCTGTAATATTACAGATTATTTAAGACACTTCAGTCCTTCAGTATAGAACCGTATGAGTGTAACGCCCACACTCATGAAAAATTCAAAAATTAAAAAAAATATATAATAGTAATCTTTTGTCTGTGATGCTGGTCAAATTCAAATTCAAATTGGTCTGGATGTTTCCTAAGTATATTTGTATTTAATTACTTACATCAGTTGTATACCTACCCATAGCACAAGCTCAGCTTAGCTTGATACTATATGACGCTCTGTGAATTGTCCTGGATTATTATCATTATTAAATACAAAAAATATGTTAAGTAAATTCAATTTGATATGTTTTATTACAGTTCCAAGTCCCTTCGCAGTGCGAGTAACATGTTCATCATCAATCTCGCTATATTCGATCTGATGATGATGTTGGAGATGCCGCTACTGATCATAAACTCTTTCTACCAGAGATTAGTGGGTTACCAGCTCGGATGTGATATTTATGCGGTGCTTGGTTCACTTTCGGGTATAGGAGGCGCTATTACGAATGCTGTCATTGCTTTTGATAGATACAAGTGAGTAAAATACCTGTATAAAGAGGGATTCAAGTGATTTATGTAATGTAACCCTGAATACTACATACAAGTTATATTTAATATCATACTTTTGATAATATTTTAAATAAAACTAAAAACTACAAACAGATACTAGTGGTTACGGACGCATACTTTGTACAAAGTCGGTTGTGTGAGTGCCTCTGTCTCGCTTATTTCTGATAATAAACGGTTTGTAATTTGTAGTTATATTTGTAAGTTTATTTTTTTATATATGTATGTGTATTTTTGTAATAGCACCAAAAATATTTAATAATTTCTCAAATACGTATATACGAAAATGTAGAGGCAGAATTGTAAAAGGAAACATTATTTCAAAATAGTTAAATAAAAAATATTTCTATTCTATTTCTTAATCCAGGCCAGCTCTGATTGATGAAGAATAATATTTCCTACAAGTAGTTTATTACAACTAAGTTCTTGGGCAAAGTTTTACATATTTTCTACTATATTTTTATACATCTGTGATTCGTGTGTATAGTCAACAAGCATTATAAAAAAAATTGTTGTTATACAAATGAAAAATGTATTATCTACACTATGCTGTATTAAATGTTTCTTAGGACCATTTCATGCCCACTCGATGGGAGGATAAATAGGATTCAAGCGGCTCTTCTTATCGCATTCACCTGGTTTTGGGCAATGCCGTTTACAATTCTTCCTGCCCTTAAAATTTGGGGACGATTTGTGCCAGGTAATTATTCAATATTGTTTAATATAAAAAATAACATTATTTATAACTAGCTAGCAAATAGCCATCGTTTTACTGATTATGGATTACCCATGAAGAACGAATATTTGAATTCATGATATGTATAACATATATTCGATAGTTGTATGTACCTACAATGAATGTCTGAATGTCTAAATGTCTGAATGTCAACTAAAAGTATTTAATAATGTCAGTTGTCTAGTACAAACAAACCCATAGTACAAATTCCATTTGACAAGATTAAATATGTAGCTATATAGGAATGCAAAAAAATACGAATCGATTGAAAGTATTCACATAACTAATCTGTACACAGTACAGTACGTGAAAATGAGATAAGATAACAAGTTAATTTAAGTATCTACTAATATTTAAATACAAGAGATGAAAAAATCTAAATAACTTTACTAAATATTAAAACACGAGCCGTATGTTCCTTGACCACGCTGATAAATTGGTACCTATTTGATATTACGTAAATCTACTCTTATAGGGTGAACCTCATGTCCGACAGAGGGACGTGAGTGGGTTGTTAATGATGATGACTTGTAGTAAATTTTGAAGTTGTATCCTATGAACTTGACACAGTTACTGCGAACCACAAAACAATAGCTTACGAAGTTCAAAAATTGCCGACCGCTCTTCTGAAACTTGCAAAAAATGCGTTAAGCGAAGGAGGGTTTTTTTTTTATTAAATGAGCATGAAATTGTACGCTAGGCAGTAGTAGAAAATAAAGTAGGATGAGCATGAAGCCAGATCGTGTAACCGAGTTGCCAAATTTACCAGAAATTAACTAAAAAAAGTGCGCAAATATTGATTTCTTTAACATCTTCTGTATGAATCACAACTTTGTCAAGTCAAAACGGCACTTTGGGACAAAAATTAAGACCAACCAAAGAATAAAACTATTCAATTACAAAAACAATTTTCAAAATTTAGGAGTAAACAGTTGATATGATGTATATGCCTAAACTGAAAGAATTTCGATGAACACTCGAAAAAAGGGATTGAATTGAGAACATTATTTTGGCAAAGATTATGTTCACCAGTCGACTGAACCGTAAAATGAAACCTAACATAACAGTTGCAAAGTTAATATAAGCTAAATGACAGATTATCTGCCTCAATTGAGTGACAAATTGTTAGCATCCGCTGAAAGTCGATTACCTCCATTGTCTTCACAAATGGAATGAATGTAATTCGATGAGTAATCGACGATTATCAATTTTATTCGAAACTCAACACTTCCATCTCTCCATTGAGCTCTTATTGTAAGTGATAATGTAAAGTTTAATTTGATTTATGTCAATCCGTTTCGACATTTTTATTTACATTTTGTTTCTGTAACGAATATATGTACTATATATATTGTATTTGTATACACAGTACACACTGAGTGTCGAAACGGATTGACATAAATCAAATTGAACTTTACATCATCACTTACAATAAGATCTCAATGGAGAGGTACCTAGTGTAGTTTGCAGTTGGCATAAAAATAAAACATATTTGCATTATTTATTTAAAAATATCATCTGTTCTCTTTGAGTAGCTATATTTTGTAAGATGTTGTAGATTAATAGTTCCCTGAAAAATCAGCTCCGATATTACAAAGATAGTTTTTATGTCTATATGAGTCAAATGCGTGATAATATGAAGAAGTATAACCGCCATGTGTAAAAAATGTGGTAATATTCCGTGATTTTCTTTATTTTACGTGTAAATAATCAAATTAAAAAGTGTATAAGATTGTACTTTGTTACATTAAGCTATATGATTGTCATCTACTAGCTAAGCTAGTAAGGAATGTATCATCCTTACTTGCCTAACATACACGTGTACATAACGAGACACCATTATCGGAGTTATGGAGTCGCGTTAACATCACACTACTCCAGGCCATTCCTGTTCCTGTTTTACAGAAGGATTTTTGACGACGTGCTCCTTTGACTACTTCAGCGACGATCAGGATACGAAGGTGTTTGTGGCTTGCATCTTCGTATGGAGTTACTGCATACCAATGACGCTCATCTGCTACTTTTACTCACAATTGTTCGGTGCTGTAAGTATTTGACAGCCTCGGTGGTCTTTACGAACGATTTAGCACAGCGCCTTACTTCCGATGGTCGCGGGTTCGATTCCTCGCACGGCACAAACATTTGTATTGATGAGTATGATTAATTTTGTGGGCCTGGGTGTTTTCTATGTATAATATTTATTTATTTAGGAAAATATATATATCTATGTATTTTTATTCTAGTACCCATAACACAAGCTTTACCTAGCTTAACTTGGGTCTAGATGGCGCTGTGTGTATTGTCCTGATATAATAATTATTTATTTTAAAGAAACTAATTTGCATTCCCAATTCAAGAGAGGACTGTTTATAGATAGCTACTGGGATACAGTCTATTGTATGTATTTTATGCGATGCTATTTAGGCTTATTTGTTTTAGAACGATCTACTTTAAATATCACAGTTTATTCTTTAACCCTATCCGATGTCCAATATCAATTAAGTCCCCATAGTGTAAGATTTTATGTAAAATATTTAAGGTCTTTTAAGTTTAATTAATTCGCGATGTTTAAAAATTCATATACATATACAAAGCTACGATATCAGTATTATTTAACAATCCTAGAAATCCCTACAATTGTTGCATCTCTATGAGGATAGGTCGGTGCTAGTAGTGCCTACCTAAATAATTATGTAAAACTTGACGTATAACTAATAGTTAACAGGTTGAGAACAAATAATATTACCCAAGTCCGAACTGTCAAAGTAGTACAAAACTAATCCAGCTCACGTAATAATGTGGCGACAAATTCCGTGCGACCAGGTTCCCGGTAGACTATTCACCAAAGGGTCCTATTTCCGTCCTATTAAATTCGGATCTCACAGAGTCCCGACCTGCCAAATGTTCAGTTCAATGTGCTATCTGCTTTTTAATTAAACTTTGTAGAAAATATTGCGATTGTCAAATGTTTCTCATAAGTGCGTCTTTTATTGGCAAATTCATTCAAAAAAATATTTTAATTATCATTGATTTGAAATCTCCCGTGATTCTAATAAATCTGAAAACAATATGTACACACATAACACCTAATATAATATTTGGCATATGTTTAGATACTATAAGTCTCTACAAGTATATGTTTGCTGCATATATATTTATTACTAAACATTTACTAAACAAAATGCGTCCATAAATCAAACGGTTTTTCTTTTTACTGTATAGAACAAAATATATTTTTTATAAAAAAAGGACAAGCTTGAATTTCAAAACAATTGATAGGCAGAAAAAACAAACAACAAAACGGCGGGCTGAAAGTTTTGAGAGACAAGTGAAAATCGTTTTTAAAGTTCGTCACCTCGCGAATTGTTTCGGGATAAACTCGTAATGGAGGGGGGAAGTTGGTAACTCGTCTCTGGCCGAGGATACTGCTTGTAATTATTAATTTTATACAACAGAAACTCGTTCGCGGCTTTATTGAATTAACGCGGCGCAAGAAGAGGGTTAACTTTCTCTTAAAATGATTTTGTGCAACACAAAGTTATTTTATTTTCACTTTGTATTTTTTCGCTAATATCGCTTAAATCCTGAGAAGTGATTTAAGGATCATAATTAATGGGAGTGGATAGCTCTTAAAAGAGATTTCGACGGCAAGGGTCGTTTAGGTAGCGGGCTCGTAAAAGAATAAATATTTCAAATATTAAGTCACCGTCCACATTTTTTAGCGAACGGAATTTTCTTATTTTTCGCTTAATTAATCTTCTTATAGATCGAAATAAATAAAAGTACCTACATATAGATATAATTTATACAATGAAGAGCATTTATATATAATTCTATTAATTGGAATATTATTGAATACTTAATGAAGCAGTGCAAGAATTGAGTGTAAGAATAAGAATATAAAGCAATGAAACTCGATTCTCTCTGTCGGCATAAGCCCTAGCGTGAAGATAGATAGATAAAAAGTCGATTTCCCGAACTGTATAACTAAATTTCCACATGAAGAAATGCGTTATGCATTTTAAAATGCTTTCAAATTCATATATATATATAAAACAGTAAACATCCCAAGTTGTAGATTCGTTTTCTACATGTGTGTAGTTCGAATACATTACGTTTATACTGATCTGTAAATAAAATGGAAAGCTTCGAAAACCGAAGGCAGTTTACGGCTATTTGTTACGAATTCACAAATTCCTAATCCCAAACCAAATGGTTGAGGAATGTTATAAGGGGAGAGAGTATAGTCTAACCAGCGGAAACTGTCCGGGAATTTTTGGTGAAACTTTGGTAAAAATGTTATTACATTTTGGAAGGTTTTGTAATTTTTGTTGTCGACTTATTTATCATTAGGTACCTACTTAGTTGTTATTAAGTACAAGACTTTCCGTAAATATGCTCTACTTATAGTATTTAGTGTTACGATTAGTCAATGTTGAAACGATTTTAATTTTGAATATAAGTATAGAATGAAAGTTTACCACAGCAAATGCCTCGTTGTTATTGTTATAATTCACTCGGTTTTTTATGTAAGTATGGGGCACAGAGGTGCTAACTGGTGGTACATAAATAGAAAATTATATGATAAGGATGAAATTAAATCAGTTACCCCATTGTAGCAAATATACATGGAATTATTTATAACGGTTTTCATGGGAGAATATCGGGAAGGAGATTGCTAAGAATGGGCCCAAAAACTAGTCTCTAATACTAACAATTCTTTGCATGCACCAAGTATTAAAAATACTGTTATTACAAATGAGGTAGTCAGAAACACTATCAAATGTCGCCATACGTCGTAAGGAACGCACACATGACATGCTTACCTTTCGTTAAACCCAATAGTTATATAATTTATTTTGTTTTCAAAGTCTTCGTGCAAAATACGAAATATAATTTTATAATAATGTAAATAACAATTTAAATGTTTTTATATTGTCTCAAATTAATCCTCAGTACAAATTTTAATAAGTGGCCGATTGTGTTTCGCAATGAGCCTATCTCTTTGGGTGACTGAGGTTTCATTTAGAAATTAATTTATTTCTAACATCAAAGCGAATTCGTTACAGAATTCTGCGTATTTTGCAAAACGAGGCCTGGTACGTGAGCATTAAAAAAAATATTTGTAAATTTCCCTTACATTATTTCGCTAAAATAATATGTATCTTCTAATCACATGAGGAAAGTTTGTTTGGTATTCACGTGTGAAGTAATTTGTAAATATCAACAATGGTCCGAAGTTCCGCTTCGATGAATACAAAGCATAGTAAGCTTAAGCATTCTAAACAATATTTAGAGAACACATTGATAGGTGTCACCAATATCTTTTTATATTAATTACTTACTAGATGTATCTCGTGGTACAGCTCGCGTGATTTCGATAGAGAAAGATCTCATTAATTTCAGAGACTATTATAAATTTTCAGTTTCTTCCAGTATGTCCTCTATGTAGTTCAAACACACTACTGCACTACTATTTTTAAAGAATTTAGTAGCTTTATTTCAATTATTTTGAAACTGAAAGTAATGGAACTGGAAAATTTGTCTTAGATTCAATAATTTATTACTAAAATTATATGCACATTATATTATTACTTTAAGATGCCCAGATCAGTGAGTAAGTAGATAAATACTAATAAAGAAATCGCTTTTTATCCTGGTTACAAGAAGTTTTTAATACAGTTTGCGTAAACTTATAAATTAAGTTCCGTAGTTCCGTCTTGACTAGTTTATTTAATACTTAGGTACGAGTACTCTTTATGGAAGCTGTATAATTACTTTAAAATGATAAGTAAAATGTTCCTTATTATTGTGGTTTTGTTAAATATTTCGTTTGAGTATACGGCTTCTATGTTTGCGAGTTCAAGGTATGGGAATAAATGTAAAAATATGTATTGAAAAGGGGTTTTATTCGTGTATAATAATTTTCACAAAAACTGCCGAGTATTGTGAAATGACAGAATGTATGCTTTTGTGAAAACCCAGACACAGACATAATTCCGTCAACAATACATTGGGTAACATTTTATATGTCATAATTTCATATAAGATCTTAGGTATTATGTCTTAAATCGAAAGGATGGGGATCCCTTTTTTATGCTCTTATTTATATTATTTTTATCATTTTTTATTAAAATTAAATTAAATACTTATCTAGATAGGATATTTAGTCTATTCAATGATTCATTTTCAACTGTTACAACGCCTTTGTTTTCTATATGTTTTGTATGTAATTCGATGGGCAAGTAGAAGACGAGCCGATAAGTGGTAAACATCACCACCAACATCACGGTTAAAAAACTACCGGTTAAGGGGTAGGCGATAGCTTGTAATGTGGACCGATAAATCCATTGCTACGCAATGTACCATGTCAGGTTGATAAATTTCTGGTAAATTGTTACAATGGTAATTATTTGACCATGACCTCATGTTCATCTTATCCTCCACTGGTGCTCCGCCAGCCTATACCGTTTGTATATGTGGATGCACCATTCCATTATCATCCATTACAGAAAAACTAATCGTTAGGTATACCCGCGTAGGAACAAACTGAAAACTAGCGCTGGGCGCACATCAGTCCAGCAATAGCTGAGTTTGTACCTATTACCAATCTTTTTATAAAAGTTTTGTATAATTGTTGGCAATAAATAGATTTATTATTATTAATACCGTATGGCACTCTCTATCAGCTAACCTTGGGTATAACCAGAAAAGTTTGTGAAGATGTAGTGACTCAAATGAATAAATAATTTAGGTGAGACTCCATGAGCGTATGCTACAAGAGCAAGCAAAGAAAATGAATGTCAAATCTTTGGCTGCGAATAAGGAAGACGCCAACAGAAGTGTCGAGATCCGAATCGCTAAAGTAGCGTTTACCATTTTCTTCTTATTTGTTTGCGCATGGACACCATATGCCTTTGTTGCTATGACTGGAGCATTCGGAGACAGGTAATTGTCCATTTTTACATCATCTTAATCATTATAATATATATTGTCTGTAAAGAATTCGTGGCCTTTGGTATACAGAATTCACACATATTTCGACTTGGAAATGTAAAGTTGTAGAACAATTAGTTAAAAGACTAACAACTTAGATTCTTTCTTTTTCTTCTACTTGAATGTGTTACCATTAAAAGGTGTTTAAAGTTACTTCAATTTAAGCGGTTTCATCATTGCTCATATACATTTTTATTTATTTTTATTCTATTCTAATAAAGTAATAGGAAAATCTATTTACTTCCCACTGCTGGGCATAAGTCTCTGATACCAAAATACTATAGGAATTGAACTAAATTAAAATAATAATTAACCCAGTTCAAATGTAGCCATAATAAATCGCTTATATTTTTTTTAAGAATGGGCTTGTCATAATTTCATTAATAAAATATATATTTTATAATATTAAATTTATTAATCACATTTCAATTACATATAATTTTTTATTAAATACACAGGAATCTTCTTACGCCAGTCGCTACGATGATTCCAGCTGTTTGCTGCAAGGTCGTATCTTGCATAGACCCATGGGTGTACGCTATTAACCATCCTAGATACAGGTAAAATCAAACTCTCCAAAATACAGTTAGTACTTGTTCTACTACTACAGCTATTGCTATTGCTGCTATTACTACTACTGTTGCTGCCTCTGCTTCGTTTGCTACTACCTATACTATTATAATTGTTGCGGTTGGTCCTAATATGTATTGCTACTCACTACTAATGCTGCTTAGCTAAAGATCAAATTCCGAGCAACTTAGACTATCTGGGGTTAACCTTAATTATTCATTATATCTTTAGAAATCCATGTACCGTGCTATATTATAATAGTATTCATGACATTATACATTGTCCGTTAAACTTTATTTTTAATTAGTATTCGTTATTTCAGTGTTAATTTTATATACAATGTAGTTATTACTGCATTAATTATCCTATAGCTGTTCAATGATATTATACATGTTCTTAAATTACTATACACGGGTAAAAAGTCTAAAAGTTACATTAAACTACATTGGCGTGTAATTGGCGTTTCAATTTGCTGTAGACAGGTGAACTAGAAACATCTACGTAACCTATTACGTGCATGGTAGATCTTTCCAAGATACATATTGAAAGAATATAAGTGTACACATATATTTACTACTATAGTTTTAACCGCATAAATAACATGTATTAACAGGGCAGAACTCCAGAAGCGGCTACCTTGGATGGGTGTTCGCGAGCAAGACCCTGACAGTGCATCTAACACCACCAGTGTTGTTACTGCCCAAGCACAGCCCACGACCGAAGCGTAGACTGATTCTGATTCTTAGACAAATACTAATTGGAACTGGTATATTCAAAGATATATAACTGCTATGGTCCACGGTTTCATCTGTTATTTAAATTTAAATAATTGGCGGCCACATTCGCTCCTGACTCACGGCATCGCTCGCTAACCGATAGTACTTATTTTTCACTTAAAATTCATTCAGATATTTTTTCTTTTGACTCCTAATGGTCATAGTGATAATTAATAGTCTATATTGTACTTCAAGAGTTAAGAAATCAAATACATCCGTAATGTATATTAATAAATAAACCATAAAACAAAGGATTCTTAAACTTTACCTAGATTTCTAATCATGGGTATCTCCAAAACTTTTCCAAATTTCGTTTTGATAAAAAAAGGGTGGGAAAGCCAGTCATGTTAATTAGAATTCAGCTCCCCTGGCAATATGCACCCTATTCACCCTTGGTTTAAGTTGGGCTTATCACTACTTTATAAATATAAATATAAAGTAGTGCCTGAGAATATATCAGCAAAATTAAAGTATCTCTCATATGTCATGAGATTACCATTTACACTTTGATAGTAGTTTTAGTGGGCCCACTTTGAGAAAAATCATTGTATACTAGTTTATGGCATAGATATAAGTGCTCGTAAGCAACGTAAATCTGATTTAAAAACGTATAATTTGTAATATATCAGTTCAATTCAGTTATGTGTTAATATAATTAACAACAATTGCGTGTTTAATGGATGCCGATTCAACAGATTTTACATGAAACGATGTATTGTATTGAAAGAAGCCTGACCTTGACGAAATGGCTACATTTCATATATAATAATGTATGTAATATTTTTCTATACTCAGGATTTGCAAATCACATTTTGTTTTATTTTTGTTCCTACTTCAAATTGTATAACAAATTGTGCAAGATACGATAAGATATTGACAAACTGAGAATGTCTAATGATGATATATGGCAAATGGAGGGAAGGGGGTTGTTAGTAATGTGGACTCATGACCCTATCACTAGCAATGTACCATGTCAGGTTGACCTCCACGCGGTTCGCCCTGGAAACCATCGTGATAAATTCCTGGTGATGTTACGATGGGCTAACTGACCTGCCCTCATCTTATTGTCCTCTACTGATGCCCCGCCAGCGTAAACCGTTAGCGCAGACGGGTAGTGTACCCGCCTGCGCTTTACTATTATCATCCATAAAAAAAAAGGAAAAGTATTTAAAAAAAAACGCACGGTAAAAAAATAGCATTCATCCAGATGATCAGGATGGTATTTTGAAAATTGTATATTACAATAATGGGCTTATGTTTATTATTCTAATTCACAACGGCAACGTTGTTTACATTTAGTATTGCACATAATCCTCTACAATTTGGTCGTTCATTGTTACCTCCGCCTCGTTCCATGAATACTTCGAATGCAGGTTCTATTTTCTTTTTCTATATGCTTCTTAGAGATGAACAATAAAGTGTTTTTATTCAATCCAATAAATAAATCCAATTACCTTGAAATGATTACCTTCAACAGTTGGGTGCTCTTATTGAATTTCTTGTCTTGATTCTCCTTTATAAAAGACAATTTTCATTTCTATTTTCTTCCATGCCTGTAAATTGATATATCACTGTCTATTAGCCGTGACTTCGTCTGCTTTTTCTGATATAATAAATAGCCTAAATAGTGATAAAATCTGCACTTCTTTCGTTAATAATGGTTCAGTTGTTTAGTCTTAAAAAGATAATATACAGATAAACTGGCTTCCGTGTCTATAATATTTTGTTTTTATGTAACTGGAATAGCAAACAAGTGACAACCTACCTGATAATAAGTCGCCTATATACCTATATGAACCACGTACATCATGTCATTGGAAGGCAAGTCACTCGATATACGGCTATCTAGAAATTTTAAATTTTGATCACGTGACCAGGGGTGTCGTTTCAGACATCTATAGTATCTACATATATATTTATGTACATAGTTCCTTATTCAGCTACATTTCGATCAAATTAGATCGATATTTAGATGAAATTGATATATTTAACAATAATATTATTCATAATGTTTCGAATTGTCTATAATAAAATTGACAATTTATTATATTCCAATTCTTTTTACCTTTTATCTATGCATCTATATATAGGTACCTATATGTTTATAAGTAAAGGTTATATTATTATAATCCCAAAAATATTGTAACAATTGGAACCTTTAAGTAACACGTACTAAATAATAATAAGTAATACGTACTAAACTCTTAAAAAAAAAGTAACGCCTTTTGAGAGTCATTTCAAAAGTATATATGTGTATATCTAATACTAAAATTTGCAATACGTAGGTACTGTTTCTCATTTTAAATAATAACAAATCCGATCCTGAAACAAAGTAGCTTATTTTTACTGTTTTATCGTGAACGAGAGACGTTGCTCACTAATGAGGGGTAAAGTCCCCGATATTCATTTTCATGGCAGCATTTTATCTATGCCGTTATTATTTTTTTGTGCAAGAAAAAAGGATAGATTTTTATCCCAGTTCCCAGTTCCGTAAATTGATTAAAATGTTTCCATTAAAACAGCTAATAAATATATTAATAGTAGTGACTAGCTGTAATCAGTGGCTTCGACTTCTTGTTAATGTTTATGTTCTCATAATAAAATCAATCTTTTATTTAAAAATTAATTATTTATTGGCCGCATCTGGCTACGGTGATAGGTATAACCTGATCTCAATCTTATTGTACCATCTTTAACTAGAATAATGACTCTGTTTGTTCTAATGGTAGATATATTTGATATGACATGAGTTACTATTCTATCACCATCGATAAATAAGATAAATAAGTAATTTAATTAAATTACCTGTATATTGAATCATGAATTAATTAATAAATAAATGAGACATCATTATAATATACTTCCCTACTTATACAACAGCGTTCAGTTAGCGCATTACGAAAACTTTTCACATTCAAATATTGGCCTACATTTTACTTCAATTTAAAATGACTTCTCACCTAACGATTCCGAGTAGGTATGTAATTAAACTGAAGATATTTCTCCACTCCCCCACCTGTCCTGACCTAAATCGTTCTTTCAACTGATTTCTATGAAAATTAATGACAGTTAATGTCACAGAACAAGTAATCACTACGTAAATGTGACGAAAAATTTTTTGCCGCCATTTTTCTACGTAAATTGTAGGGGTGATCAATTACCGCCGCCAAGGTTTACGACCACAGATTTAATTCATCACGGTTGCTTTCGGCTGTTCGCACTTGTAGACGGTTAATTAAATTTCAACTCCCCATCAACAACACAACAGCTGAGATTTACACTAATCGGTGTTGCGTTGCTAATGGTGCTTGCACACGTTATTGTTGTAATAAAATTGTAACTGAATATGCAGGGTACAGTCGGTTTCGAAAATATATTTACTTGCAGAATCTTGGCAGCTGACTCCCAAGATATAATTGAGCATAATATATTATTGAAGCAACCTATTGTTACATAGAAGAATTAGAGCATCCGTAGTCGCAATATAAGTAATATAACTTTCTAAAATCTTCAATATAAGCATAAATTGAATAGACACATTCCTTACCTCGATAAACTAGAACTCTAATTAGTGCATATAACTTAAAACCAAGCTGTACCCACCAAGAATGCTGCACGCAAACAAAACTGTCGCATAATCTGCTTGTTGTTAACAAAATGAGAAGTTGGTGAACTCATTAAATGTTGTAAGTTGCCGTAAGCCTCGAGGCGCGGTCGCGTACATTACATCCCTTTGTATAACGTGGAAGAGACACTTTATTTGACATACGACCATAGTACGTACGCGTTATGAATTCCTGATATACACCAACTATGTTATGAGGTTTGTATTCATATTTGCTAGTGTACAGCCACTATACAAGTTTATGTCTGTCTATACAATTACATAGGTACATGTATTTATTTATCAAGAGACTATTCCTTGATGCTTGGATACAACTGCTAAGGATCAATATTTTCTCTCTGCATAGATATATACGCTAATACTATAAAGATTAAGTTTTTTTGTCTCTTTGATTGAAGTAGATCTCAAGAATTTACTAGTACTGAAAATTCTTTCAGTGTTGCATAGCTCATTTATCGAGAAAGGTTATTGATTATACATATATAATAAAGAAAAATAACACAAAAAGGGGCAACTTTAGGTGCAAGTAAAATTGTGCGCGTCTAAGCGCCATCTAGTCCCAAGCTATGCATAGCTTGTATAATGCATACTAGCTAATTCATACAAATACTAAGATGCATAATTAATTTATATAGACTGACACAAACAATGATTCTTATGAATATAAATGTCTGTACCATGCGAGGAATCTAACCCGCGACTATCGGAAGTAAAGTGCGCTAAAACGTTAGAACACCGAGGTCGTTATATAAAAGTAATATATAAATTGCTACCTAGACATAGACAACAACTACGGACGTTAAAAAATCCACTTTCCATGAGTTAGACGTCGGTATCTATGCCATTTCAATTAGGTTGGTAATGTAACACTCCTAATGCAGAACGGCACCAACCGTCGACAACGCCTGTGTGCGAAACCTTACAAGCATATTCTTTTATGTCATCATATTTCGACAACTATATTTAAAAACTTTGACTGAAATATGTTTAATTCGAATAATATAAAATTATGTCTTGGGAGATCAAAAACAAAAATCATTTATTATTGCGGATATTGTAGACGCTTATAAGCGTTAACTTTCTGTATTAATATTTTTCACCTACCTTCCAGTTCAGTATACAGATTCGATTGAGAAGAACTGCCAAGAAAGTCAAGTGATTTTTTTATATAAGCATTTATTTACTTTGAATACTAATATATTTATTTATTTATTTATTAAAACTTTAATGCACAAATACATAAATAAAGGTACACATGGCGGACTTAACACCTTGAGGCATTTTCTCCAAGTCAACCATTGGGCAAACAGAGATTCATGTTGGGGGTGCATTAAGAAATTGAATTAATATATCTAGTGTCTAAGTCTAACATTAAATGAAAATGCCGTGCAACGGCTTAGTTACTCGACTATAACGAATGTTGTATAACAAATAAGAATTTCAATAATTGCCGCTGGCATTTCATTGACTACTACACTTATGCATTGACTTGCTGCTTGTGCTTGTGGTGCAGATAGTAATCTGCACCACACTTCTCATACAGAGGCGGTGCAGACCTGGGTGTACTTGACCCTGCTGTTTCAAACCGGTTTCATACAGGTTATTTTTAGACGATATATAATCGCGTTGTAAGAGAAAGGCTGGTGGCAGCAGAGAGAGTCCCTTCTCTCGACAAGAGAGAAACTTCAACGCTAGTTTGTTGGAAGTTTGACGTCTACTGTGTCTCGAAAATACAGGAAGCAAATGTTACTTTTTTTTTTTAATGAATGTAACGGAATTGTACACGCACCTGCGCCGAGGGTTGACGCTGTCGGGGCACCAGTGGACTATAAGATGAGCATGATGTCAGGTCAGTTAGCCCAACGCAGCATATTCGTAAGGAATTTATCACAATCATTTCCAGGGAAATCCGCGTGGAGGATAACTTGATATAGTGCATTGTTAGCAATGGGGTCTACAGGGTACTAGTCCACATTCATAACTATCACCTTCCCCCAACTCTCGGGTCTCCGGTACCGTAACCGTTTCTTCTCAGGTATAATATAAAAAAATAATATCAAGCTTAAACAACAAATAAAAGTTGAAACATGCTAAAATAAAAAAAATACATTTATTAAAAGTGTTTTATTCAAATCCATAATCAGGCAGCGCTGCATCTCTTAAAATCTATTTATAATGTAATTTCAAATACAGTTTATGGAATGTCGTAATTATATATAATACAATACGATATCAGGTCTGCCATATAGAAAATATTGAACTTATGAAGGTGGTCTATGGTTTTCATGGAACACTTTCATATATAATTATTTCTATGTTGCAATTCTCATATCGAATCGAGAAAGTTAAAATAATGAAATACTTCACACAGAGTCAAAGCTAAGTAAGTCGTGTTTATAAAAAAAACCTTATGACACAAATAAAAATATAATTTCACACTAACTTATATACAACACCTTATCTTCGCTATCATCACGAAATAATAATACATTAAAATTGTTTCCCATCCTTATGTCCACTGAGAACAATAAATTAATATACTTTATTGTTTTAAATAATTCAAAAACATTGTAATAGTACTGTTGGTACAAGTGCGTCAAAAGATTAAAATAACTACACAACTTTATTATATGACTTTACATATATCTGAACGATAATTTAAAAAATGTCTAATAATGATCAATTATGAAATAACATTCTTCTTAATACATAAAGTTTTTTTTAATGTCACAATAAAAAGTATATTATGTGAAAAAAAAAACACTTAAATAATTTTACCCTCTTCACTTTTGAAGTAGTTTCGAAAAGATATATAGGGCCTATAGATATATAGATATATAAGGCCTTTTTGCAGGCAGTTTGCATGTCTGAATACAAAAATAAAATATGATAGAAACAGACAATTTTAATGATACATATATAATTTGTTAACTGTTAGTGTGGCGTGAGTGTAGAAAAATATAAGTTAAGACTAATATGATTTAAATATAAAATGCCAGGTTTTTAAATAAAAGTTCAAAAATATATAAAATCGTCTCTATAAATCTCATTATGAAATAAGACATTTAAAATGCCAGATACTCTTAAAACCATAACAATGATAATACAATTTGGGATGTCAATGTATAACAATATGTTATATAATTATAATTTAATCTTTTACACTATCAACTATTTATTGTATTTATTATTATAGTGCAAATTTATTATTTCGTTGACTCAAATGCAATATATCAATCTCAATTAATTCCAAATACTATAAAACTCCACAGGTAACTACATAATTTTAAAAGATTATTCCAATGTCTTTGACAACATGATCAATTTGGGACTACCATTTAAATAACATAATGAAGGGAAACTAATATTAAAATAATACATACAAGTGATTATAACGTCTCATTGTAACAACTTTAAAATTGTCATTCCAAAGTCAAGAAGTAACCTTATATAACACACTGTTTTCTGACGCAGTCAATTATTTTGTCGATTTCGTGTAATGTCATGGTCATAAAGAAAAAGTTAAAGGGGATTTCGAATCAATGACATTTGTTTATACATCCAAATGCAACTTAAATTACAGTATATTTCCAGTCGCATTGAATTTAGGAGCCTATACTCGAATAGATGTTCAATAGCATTTGATTAATGATATCTATAATATAATAAAGATTCACACAAAGTGATAATGTTGTAACAAATAGTCATTATCACATCGCATCGACACCTAATGTACAAATAACTGAACACATATATAATAATAAATTTTATTATATATTGGCCTATAATCGACTCTCGCGATATTTATAAGTTTAGCTCTTAACATGAATGCTGGCCGATAAAAAATGAAAACTGTAAATGTAATACATTTCCTACAGCTACTGCACATTTCTTACAGGACTCTTTGTCTGTGACATATAATAAAATTATAATAATAAATTTACTGGAATTTATATTTTTTCATTCCCATGAGAATTTCCTGTTGGAATTCTTTCTTAGCAGATCAATTGAATTGCCCTACACACGCCTAATTAACTGGTAAAATATAGTCAAATATATGGGTACAGTCAAATATAAATCATAGGTATGTCAATTTAGGCAATTGGTACACTTCAATATTATTGCAGTTTTATAATATCTTGGTAAGAATAAGCTAGTGAGATCAATTTTCGTTTCTACCCAGTACTTTGACTTCTTAATATATATAACGATCCTATATATTTGACTACATAGTACCATCTAGTTATTTCCTTACTAACCAAACTAAAAGAACAGTTTTTTTTTGTCAGAAAAAATTCTACTTTTTTTATGAACAACAACTAAACAAGAAACACTTTTTTCTGCTTTATAACTTCACATTCACGTCAGTCTATTCATCGCAAGGTGAATTTCAACAATAATATTTAATGGTTTAATATTTTACAAGTAATAAAGTCAAACAATCTTCCCATAAACTCAATCTTTTCAATCTAATTTCTAAAACATTTTCTCACGCATCCAATAATATAAAAAATAAAAGGCGGCGCTTACACATGATAGCGTGAAGATTTGACAAGATAATTGCGCACTATTAAGTATGCAATACGATTAGAATAAAATAAATAATCTTATTAAAATACTTAAGTACTTTTAAATAGTCACTGTGCTCACATTAATAAGGTTGAGTACAAAGATGGCTGACTCATCCGTGATACAAGTGAACTGGTGCTTGTGGGGTGTGACAAAAATGCATTAGCGTATGCTCGTGGTCACTACTCCGTAATAGAATTTTAATTTGAATGTGTACTTTTGCAATCATGTAGAAGCTTATTTGACAAGAGTAACAGCTGAGTTTCTTATCAGGACTTCTTAGCTCGTAATGGATTTGGCTTATAAGGGACTTTTTATTAGACCAATATGAATAAAGATATTTTGATTTAATTTGATAGTGTCATATTATTTGATTTGATTGAGTTATATTACGGCTGTTGCCTTTGCCGTGATTTAATCAATCTATGCTTATCCTAAGAATAAGAATGACAATTAAGGTCTGTACAATGAGAAGATAATTCACCTATATATAACATCATTTTCAAACTAAGATCGATGCTTGTTACGGTTTATGCTCTGAACAAGGCGACGTGCCCACCACTCCTCCAGATTGAACGGTCTGAAGTTAGCCAGCTGCCGAGGCCCTAACGGGTCTTGGTAGTATCTAGCCTCTTCGGTGCTTATGTCCCGTGTCACCTGATAATTTGGAGAAATATTAAAATTAACACTAACATTGTGAACATTAAATATTTTAATATATAAATATACTATGTTTCTAAACAATAAACTCAAAAAATACTTGACTGGATGAACTGACAGCTATGCAGCCATGTAGTCCCAAACAATATAACTTAACTATGGTTGTGTAAGGCAACTGATAGACTTGACATATTCATATGTATATTTTCAATTGCAATATTTATGATGTAATTTAATTAACTTTGTATATTTGTAAATTATAACTTGTTTGGTAGTCAATTTTTATAATATTTGCTGTAGATATTCTAAATAAAATAATATGTGGTCATTTTAATTTATGCATGTATTTGTCACTTTTTTTTGTATATTATTTTTCCCCTACCAATGTACTAAACAATACTCTATATAGTATAATATACTAATAACGAAATGTGTGTAACTGTTTAGAAATCTCTGATATGTACAAGTACTATTAACCTACCTTATTCCAAGAATCATATATATAGTTGATGAGATCATCATGTTGACTGTTCTGTGAGTTTCCTGGTGATGTCTGAGCTGGTGGACTCAACCGTGCACTGTTATGTCCATTCCCATTATGCCCATTATCCCTGTGGCCATTTCCATTGTGTCCACTTCCATTGTGGCGTTTATTCCCACCCATATGTGGTAATGATCGTGATCCACTGTTCACGTAACTTGATCTGAAATTGTTGCATTAAAATAATAATAGCAACCATCATTACTGAAAACTCATAGAAGTATATTAAAGTAGGCATTATGTGTAACATGGTCTAGTTTTTTGAGACAACAGTTCTTTTTATTGGACAATAACGCGACAATAGCCTATATAAATCTTCCTCATAACATAATCTGTCTTCACACAAAATGCTTTAAAATCCATTCAGGCATTTAGTCATGAAGACATTTGCAAACATAATAACATTATATTTCTATTATACTGTACAGTAACTAATTCTATTTACTCTCTTATTTCATTTGCTGTTAACAGTTAAAATTAATGTGTTTAAACAGTGCTTTATAAAAAATATGTTTTTATAAAGCACTGTCTAAAGACATTAACATAAGTACATAAGTCAGTAAAATTTGGTGGAAGAGACTGTTAGTAATAAGGAATAATAACCCCATTGCTAAAGATTTACTACATTAGGTCAACCTTCATGTGGTTAATGTTGGAAACAATTCCTGGTGAATTCTTCATATACATACTTCATGTTCATACTTTTATTAATTAGAACTTTACTTGCTCTATAATTTCTGTTTGTAACTACACTCATCCAATTTCCTCCTGCTATATCTTTGATGTCATTGGAATATTTTTATTTCTGTCTTCATGTTAACTAACTATTGTAACTCTGGGGCTGCACCATTCCATTAAAAAACCAGTAAAATTAAGGAAGTGAAGAAATATTACTCTAACAGTATTTCTTTCGATCATTAATAATACTTCATAATACAATATAAGTTAGGAAAATTTGCACATATGTTATTATTTGTATTAACCAAAATCAATAAAACTAGAACCATATAGAGAACACTTAATACAATACTAAATTACTTCAAAAATTACAAATTTTAACACAGAAAATACACTCTAAAATCTCTAGTTTAAAGATTAAATCCTAAAGTTTGAAATATTTTGACTGTAATACTGCAGGTGTGTAATATGTACATACACAGTTCACACATACATACAGTTATTAGAATCTATTAGAATACCCTTAAAAGGTTCTATTAGAATCAATAAATTAGAATCGACTACCTGTTACCAGGTATGTTTTTTAAAGAAAGATAGCTGTCCAACCTTAAAATACAATATATATTTACATCAAATTTAAATAAAGTCTGTTAAATTGAAAGGCATTTAATATACTGGTATGTATGTAAATTTCTATATTGTAATAATATAGGACTCTATATTCATATATATAACCAGTAGACAATGATAAAAATAGTATGCCAAACAACAAGTCTACTATAATCCCATTGGATGTATTTTGCAGGACATTAAAATACAGGACACAAATTGGTCAATATTTTTATTGTCATTTTTAATAAAAAAAATAAGTCATTATATTGTTTACAGAAAGAAAGTTAGACTTTTTTTTATATTTTCAATCTGTATTCAATTCATTTGTTAATTATCCATTTACTTACTGTATACTCTTATGATTTCGTAATATTATAAAATGCTGATTATATAAATTCAACAAGCTTACAATAATGAGTCAGATATGCATTGTACACAGCTAATTATATTGATAACGTTTAGTCTTTCTGCCGCGTCGCTGTTTACTCTTTGTTGGTTTAGTCGCGCGGCCGTCTCGCTATTTACTGATAAACCAGATGCATGCCATTACAAAGTATTGTCACACAACCTGTGCCAACAGACAATAAGTTTTCGATTGTATAATACGATGGTTTATCGACAACATCAATTCCATTCTGAGAATACAATGAAATATAACGGGAATAAGCTAAAGATATCCATCATCGGTGAATGTACCAAATCAATCTAAACATGTTTATCTTATTATCAATAAGGTTTTAATGAATCGAAACTCAATGTACGTATTTCTCAACGTTCTATTTCGCACCGAACTTGACGCGCGAAAGTAATTATATTAGGAGAAAGGAAAAGGTGGTGCACCTACCTCATATTGTTTCGGTCCATATTTCAAAACACAGCAGTTCAGTTCTCCTTTCTATAAGTATCCTTACTATTATATAAATCTTTACTTAATATTCTAAACTTAGTTTAATACATTTCTATTCTAAGAACCAGTAAAAAATCTGTAAATAATAATACTTAATAGTGATTCTAAAGATAAACACACAGACAATAGATCATAGGCAATATATTTTTTTTTATTTATTGATGAGTATGGATAGATGATACCACAAACCATATAGAAGTACTAATGGATACAATCAAGCTTTTTCTAGAGATGTTTTATGGCTAGTTACAAGACCTTTAAGCCAAATCATATATTACTACGTACAATCTGCCGGCTGATTATTACAATAAAACACTTTCAAATATAATATACCGTATATGTTAAAAATATAAAATACCGAAATTTAGAAAAATATTGATTTTTAAACACTGCATTTCGGAACGCAACCTTAAAGCCCTGCACAGAATAATCTTAGCATCTCAGTTTGTACTTTGGTTTGTACACAGAGTAATTAAACAAAAATTCATAGACAAAATTGAAACTTGCATATATAGTATATTATTCCGCAATGTCTTTCTTCGCTTTTTTTAACTTTCGAGTTTTATCAAACAAAACAAACCAATGAGCGAAAGTTCTGCGAAGTAGTGCGTAATTTGTACTTGTGAACGCTTTTCTGAATTAGTTCGTTCGCGAACTACACAAGTCCATCAATCTTACGAGTGCCTATGGCCTATGCCTATTATCTATTTATTTTTGATTCTACCAAAGAGTAAAGTAAATATACCAAAAGGGATCCTACTACTCCTACTATAGTACTATACTACTATTGTCAGAATTTTGTCAATGCACATTGTCAAAAATGAATTAAAGAATAATTATTTTTTCGTATTCATGAAACAAAAGTAGTATGAAATAAACTGATTTTTATACTGACAAAACAAAAATCTATGCTAATGCCTAAAAATATGTCGGACAAATTCGGATTTGAAGAATTACGAGCAAAATACAAGGTAAAAATATCAATGTACAAGTTAATCCTGCATACCGGATGGTAACTTCGTTACTCATGTATTTGTCTGATTTCAGGATGTACTCTCAAAGGCCTTTGCGACAAATAACATTGATTTACTTGACTCTTTTTCTAAAATCACAAATGAAACTGATAGAAAAGCGGCTATGGATCAAGCATACAGGGACAAATTGCTTGAATTATTGGTCGAAGATCCAGATACCCTAGAGTCTTATGTTTGTTTCTGCATAGAATCATGTAGACGACAAATGGTAACTCCCACAATGCCCGTTGTTCTACTTGGAGATATATTTGATGCACTCACATTAAATAAATGTGAAAAAATGTTCACATATGTTGAAAATGGTGTAAATATTTGGAAGGAAGAGCTGTTTTTTGTTGCATGCAAGAACAATTTGCTAAGAATGTGCAATGACCTTCTTAGACGCCTGTCAAGATCACAAAACACTGTATTTTGTGGAAGAATACTACTGTTCTTGGCAAAATTCTTCCCATTTTCTGAGAGGTCTGGTTTGAATATTGTATCAGAGTTTAATCTTGAGAATATTACTGAGTTTGGTGGAGACAATTCCAGCACACTAAAGGACTCCTTAGATGAGGAAATTGTGATTGATGATGAAAAAAACAAATTAACAATTGATTATAATCTGTACTGTAGATTTTGGAGTTTACAGGACTTTTTCAGAAATCCAAATACTTGTTATAACAAAATACAATGGAAGACATTTGTTGCAGTAAGTACTATATTATATATATAAGTATCACACATAGTCAATTCTCTGTTATGTCACACTAATAATGCCAAGAAGTCATCTTGCACACTTGTAATGTATGTAAGATTTTGTCTCCACATACACTTACTTCACTACCTGACATCCTGGTTTGAACCAAAAAACAGCTTACAGAGTAAGCTACTCGGTGGTTGCAATAGGTGAGACTGAACCTGCTTATATATTCATTCTTACCGAGGTAAACTTTCTAAGTCCCTTAATTCATAAATCTAATATAAAACTAGTAGCTCAAATATTTTCTGTGTAATACATGTTAATAAGTAGTTAATTTATTATTGTGATTAATACTTTCAGCATTCAGGCAGTGTGCTGTCAGCGTTTGCATCATATAAGTTAGAAGCTGTCGAGCTACAGAAATCTAAGCTGAACAGACTGAAGGCAGTCACCTCAGATGTTGAAATGCAAGAATCAAGCAAGGAACAACACTACTTTGCCAAATTTCTCACAAACCAGAAGCTTCTAGAACTCCAATTATCTGATTCTAACTTTAGAAGATGTGTACTGATACAGTTTCTTATACTATTCCAATATTTGGCATCAACTGTTAAGTTTAAAATGTATATAAATTTTGTAACTATTGTTGTTTCATTTTTGTAAATCAAGACTTTACTTTGTCCAATTTAATTCAAATTTGTCTTCTCAATAAGCTTTGATATTATTTGTAGGGAATCTCAAGAATTAAAACAAGATCAAATGGATTGGGTAAAGGAGACAACATCATTAATATATCGTTTACTAGGGGAGACCCCACCAGATGGAAAACAATTTGCGGAATGTGTGAAGTGTATAGTGAAGAGAGAGGAACATTGGAATACTTGGAAAAATGATGGATGTCCAGGTATCCATACACTATAGTAATCATACTTTTTCCTTTCAAACCAGAATTAAACCTAAAACATTTGCAATAAAAACCAATTCAATATTTGTTTTAGAATTCCAAAAACCAAAGCCACCGCCGCAAGTGGATACAACAGATGATGTTAAAAAGTCGAGAAAACGGCGACGGCCAGTCGGTGATACAATACGGGAATATGGAAGCCAAAACAAATACTACATGGGCAAGTATGTATCAGTCCATATATACTTTTTTATAGGATAGGGGTATAACAAGCATTCAATTTATCTGATGATGACTGTGACTGAAGTGGGAACCCAACAACTAATTATTAAAAATCGGTGATAATATTATAGGTATAAGGATAGGATAATACAATTCCCAAGAGGGCTCATAAATAAGTCAAAAGTGACATATATCAGTCATACAGTCAATTTATATATGGTTACTAAGAATTTTTTTTTGTCATATAAGTAGAGTAATACTTTGCACAGCCTTACACTGACGAGAAAGGAATGGAAATTAATACATGTAGATATAATTAAGAGTTAGTTTAACGAAATGTGATTAGTATCTGAATAAACAGTCTTATTATTATTTATATTGAGAAATTTATAATTTTTCTTTCAGCAATGAACTTACAAAATTGTGGAATTTGTGTCCGGATAATCTTGCTGCGTGTCGTACTAAAGAGAGAGATTTTATGCCTTCATTGGGTGAGTTGGAACATAATAAATTGTAACTATTAATATATATTATAATATTAACGTTTTCTTATACTACGATATTTATGTTATACTTACTATTACAAATGATTAGATCAGTTGATATAAAAATCTTATAACATATAAAGATAAAGTATGTAATAAAAATGTATACTTTATATATGTAACAGCCTGATTTTACATGCATCTTCAAATCTTGTCTGCCAGCATTGTAGTATAAAAAAATCTGGACTGTGTTTAATAGATTATGTAAAAAGTACCCTAACATACTAAACACATTGTGTACATAATATTTTATCATCTGCCCCTAACATTCTGAGGCTCAACTAGGGATGACCAATGTTAGAAAAATATTTCAAACATCAATTTCAACTACAAGTATCGATAGACATATCAGAAGACATGAAATTATTTTCATTGCATATGATTGTTTGTTCATCAGCTCAGTCCAATTTGATAATTTCAAGACATTTTACGTTTAGAATTACTCTTTTTTGTCATTGTTTTCAATTCACATCTAAGAACATGGATATTTATCGATCATCCCTTGGTTCAACTGTAATTTTTAAAACATGTGGTTTTGTTGTTGCCAGAATCGTACATGGTGAGCGAGCATAGTGCAAATGGGGCCGGTGGTAAAGACAAGCGAACGGCAGACGGCGGCTGGGGTTGGCGTGCACTGCGACTGTTGGCGCGACGAAGTCCTCACTTCTTCATTCACACTAACAATCCCATCGGCCGCCTGCCAAACTATCTCGATGATATGGTCAGTTATAGAATAGAATTTTATTTATTCGTACAATAATAACATGAAAACAAAAATAGTTTACACTGATTACAAAACAGAGACAATGGATCACAACTCAGTAATGCAGGAAACATATTTTGTGTACAATTACAATTTGCAAAAAATAAAACTATAAATATAAAAATAATTATATTAAAACATTATGAGCCGGGCAGGTATTTGTACACATTCCAAGAATTGCCACTTATAAGCGAGGCAGGTACTAGAACTGGTTCCGCACATTGCCGTTTAAAAGCGGGGAAGGTATTACCCGTTAAAAATAAGTAATTTTAAGTAACACAAGGGAAAAATATATATATTTATTAATATGAATACAAATACCTGCCCCACTCATAATGTGTTAAGATGTATATATGTATATGTATATATTTAAATAATACTGACGAAATTTTACGCTTCGTAATAACATATCACACACACACCCTACCCACACTTTTCCGATTCGATTACACACTACTATTTAAATTGTAAAAAAATCCTGATCAATTCACTCATAAGTACACCATAATATGGAAGAAGACATTGACTTCTAAAGCAGGTATTTTCTATACCTACCTTAGAAGTCAGGGAATATGGCACTTTCTTAGCAATGGGACCACTAGCTTCCTTTACTAATAACCCCCTTGCTTCATTGTGTGTAGGTTGAACGCGTAACACGCGAGGTAGCAGCTAATGCAGCGGCCAGCAATGCCAACGGGGATGACAAGGCTATGAAACAGGTAATATTGCACATATTTTTTTATCCAGAACCATACACATCATTAAACACATGTAGCTGAGCAGAATTTAAGTGTTTTTAGGAAAACTCACACAGCGCCATCTAGACCAAAGCTAAGCAGTGCTTGTGTTATTGGTACTATACAACTTATATGAATACATAGATATATTTTAGTAAAATACAAACATATAATACATAGAAAACTCCCAGATCGATACAAATAATCATACTCATGATTATAAATGTTTGTACCGTGTCGGAGCTGAACCCGTGACCATCGGTAGTAATGCTGTTAAACCGCTAGACCAATCAAGCTGTCCGAGTTTAATTAAATATTTTACTACGAAATTAAATTAATTTTATTAGATACAAACATTGTCTAACATTTATTTTAAAAATCAAATTAAAGTTTGTATTCTTAAATTTTATATCAATCTGCATCATAACATTTGTCTATTTAACACTATTTTTATAAATTCTATTTTAAGATTTATTAACTGTAACTTTACTCTTGTATTAAAAAAAGTTTGTTGATTCCCGGAATGTACCTATCTAAATTGCCTAAATAATGACTTTTATAATATTTATACGTTTATAACAGATTTTAATATATTCTATGTTCTTGAAATATGTATATACATATATACTCTTTATTGCACTTGTAACTTAAAATAGGACATGTATTTTAAAAATGTTGTATGCAACAATAACATATTTCTATATTCATTGCAGGAGACGCCTGATGAAGAAACTGAGGAGCAGATCGAAACGGATATTATAAAGGACAGCGACACTAATGACATTGAACAGGTAAATGAAACGCATACAAGATATTTTACAAAATACAAAACAAAAAGAATAAAATATTATTAACCAGTTACCCACTCCGGCTTCATACGGGTGCACATGTATTACACATAGAAATCTTTCTCTTGAATCACTATCTACTGTTAAAAACTGCATTAAAACTTTACGTTTAGAATATAATTGATTGCTCTGTTCTCAGGTGCCAGATTCTACTCATGCTGGCGAAGATGATTACGAGAAGAGCGGTCGTTCTCGTGTCACAATGATTTCGCCAGAACAGCTTGAAACGGTATCATCAAAACTGACAGACTGGAAGAAACTTGCCGCTAAACTAGGCTATACGCCAGACGAAATCCTATATTTCGAGACTGAAAACCCCACAGATGCTTCCAGGGCGAAAAACATGCTCACATTGTGGTTTGATGACGATGAAGACGCATCAGTCGAAAACCTTCTATATACGATGGAAGGTCTGAAGCTACTGGAAGCGTGCGAGGCACTGAAAAATGTAAAATGACGATCACTGAAACGTAGCTGTAGGAGGAAAGGAAAATAAAGTTTAATCTGTATTAGCTTGTTTTATTTATATATAATAGGTTTAATAATATCTCAGGACAACTCACGCAGTTCATGTCCTGAGGTATATATATTTACTACAAGTCCTACCCGAGATGGACTTTGTAGAAATCTATGTAGGTAACTCTGTCTAACTATTTTAGCCGGGGGGGAATAGGATGGTTAGTGATCTGAACTAAAAACCCCATTGCTAGCAATGTACCATGCCAGGTTTGACCTCCACGTGGTTACCCTTGGAAATCATGGTGATAAATTCTTGGTGAATTTGCTAAGATGAACTAAGTACCTGACCTCAGGCTCATCCTGATATTCTCCAATGTTGCCCCGCCAGCGTATACCGTTAGAGCAGGCGGGTGCACCGTACCATTATAATCCATTAATAAAAAATATTTCAGGCGTATTGCAGCATGCTTTATAAGTTGTAATACGATTGTAGTGTAATTAGGCAGTGAAAATTAGAGCCACGACATCTTAGTCATCTGGAACCGCAACCATTTAGTGGTGTCACATGACATGATGTTAAGAATTTAGTTTACCTACTCATCAGCCTAAAATCTATTTCTTTATAATTTATTTATTAAAATATATTTATAATATATTCTTTAACATTGGTTGAAATAAAATATTTTGATTACTGTACATGTTATTAACTTATCAAACTGATACACCATATTCTACTACACTCTTCAATATAAGAGAAGGCTATCTAGTATCATCGATATTCTCAGGTAATATTTTTGATAAGTAGGCATACAAATTACTGAAGTTACCGTGACACCGTCCTCCGCAATGGCAACGCATAGAGGATACCGCAGGCGTCACATGATGTCCATGATGCAATTTATTATAGACAGGTATAGTATATAAAAAAGAGAAAATATGATATTTGGAGAACTATACAATTATACATGTCTTATATGTAAAATATTAAATGATTCTTAGTAAGGCAGTTTACAATATCTAGATAACAATGTAGATAGGTATGAAATTTTTGATGTTGATGATGTGACTACCTCAGACATTTTTCACATTCATGAAATTGCAATAAATTCGTATGTTTGCTACGAAAAATCACCGCCGCCCACACAATTTTTCCATGGTAACGCACATTAAAAAGATTTATAAAACCATTCAACAATGTCGGCCGCGCCGAAATTATAACTTGCACGCATTTCCTCATCCCGGACTGACTCACGGCGTGCCCAAAACAGAACTTATTACTTACAAATTTAAAAACATGTCTAGCTATTTTGAAATCAACCGTTCTGTATCAGATTTAAGGCCTACCGCTACCTCTCTTGTAAACTTGCTGAAGTCAGTAGCGTCCAGATTAAACTGAGCTGCCACGTCTCCCGTTTATTTTGGATTAGGAGGCGGTTACGAAGAAGTTGCAACTGTTAGGCGTGTCAGTATACCCTGGACTATGGTACCACCGCTGCGGTGTTTACAGAATCGCGGAATAGTCGCTGCACCGAAATTAGTACGAAACGAATGCGTCAATGGACAGACGGAGCGTGGTAACTGGTGCGCGCGCGTTCGCTCCTAAAATATTTGTATATTTATGATTCGATATGCTCTCGAGAATTTTATTATTAAAAATATAGCAGGGTTGGATTAGAAGTCGATGTGACGTGCGTGCGCGCAGGGGTGACGCGAAAACGTGTCAAGGATTTGTGTGTTGTGCCGACACAATTGTAAGTAAAAAGCTTAATTTTTTTACTACTATTTCACCAATTGATTAAAAATGTTAGTTTTAGTTATTAAAAAAAAATATTTTTTATATACCTTATACATTTAGAAAAAAATATATAATTGAAATAGGTTTTTGAAATATTGTCCTATGTCACTCATGTCACTCATTACGCCCTACGTAGGTAGACCTACATTGCGTACATTAAAACACCTACTTAATGAGCTAAAACAACATTTATATATATCTTTGAAAATTGAAATATCTACTGTTCGCTGTGTAACAGTTATTTCTGTACATTTCAGCACTTTTCATAGGTATGCCAAGCTATAAACTTTTATAACGTTATGATCTCACTAAATCACCAAGCCTCCTATGTACGATACAAATCTGATTTATATAATTATACTATTTGTATGATTTGGCACTGAATGCAAATATGAGGTATGGTTTAAGATTTCTATCTAACTATTAAATGTGTATAGGGGAGAAGAGATTATTAATAATGGGGAATAGCATTTAAATGCGACTTAAGCGCGGTCCCCCTTAGAACCATCTTGGTTAAATCCTGGTGCATCGTTACTAAGGATTAACTAGTTAAACTTCATCCTTATCTTATCAACATATAGGTACTACATTAGCACTAACCAGTGATCCATTTATCCTATTAAAAAAATAGGTACCTATAATAGAAGAGCTTAAATCAGTGAGCTCGATTTTTTAAAATATTAACTTCTATGTTAATAATTATTAACTCAAGAAATTAATAAAATTATGACGGTTAATAATAATTATTAATATTAGCAGAATTAGGATAAGTGACGAGTTGTTACAAGAACAATTTCTTCATTATTTTATCCGCATGTTTACGCACTGTAGTTCCTACGGACCTACCTACGGACTGTACTCTTTTTATAGACTGTATTACTACTATATGTGTTCTATTCTGTAACTTCTTTATTCATAAAACCATAGGATATATATCTACATATATTTATTGCTATATTAAAACTATCACCTCTTCAAAACTATTATATTTTAAGTAATTTAATCTTTCTCTCAATCATATTATAAGAAGACATGTCTGAATGTTGAATTTGCCTTGTGGTTATGACTAGGGGCTAGCAGACGTTGTTACAGTAAAACTGGATAATAAAATATCAAAGAACGCTCATTGAAGTTATAAAAGCCATGATTTTAGATCTTTAGTAGGAGCTTTCCTATTTAATTAATAGTTGTGATTTAACTATTACAGTTGTCATGTTACATTTCTTGATTAATGAATCTTCTAGATGTAGACCATAATCTTCAGGACTACATTATTCGTATAAAGAGATAAAAATAAATAAGAAAATTTTTATTTTTGATTGGGAATGTAAAATTTAAAATACTTAAATTATTTTCAATTTTACGGCATTTACATGAAAAGGTAAGAGCCGATCTAATATATGAAAATTAATTCCAATCCAATGAAATTGGATTGTGAAATTTATACACTCTATTCAATTATGCATTAGCAAACTACGTATTAATTTCGTATATAGTAGTAATTAATGAAAGAAATAACTGTTATTTTTAGCAAAATATTCGGTTTGGTTTTCATTACAATTAAAATTTACAAAAATAGTTTGGTTTCAAAACGATATCAAGTTAAATTTACTGAATGAAAATGCTCAGTATATAATTAATAAAAATTAATAATCACGACTACTATTCCAGATTGGATAGTCAGAGATATCAACTAGCAACAGTTGAAATGAATGAATGAATACTTCACCCGGTCTCCAAAACTAAAATGTTAGTTCTATCGCAGTAGCCATCTTATTTCAAATTATAAATATAGCTGCAAAACAAACAAAAAAGCCAAAACAGTATATTACGTTCACCAATAATTTACGTTTAGACGTTTGCTTTTTTTTGGCCCTTGATGTTTAATAGAATTTTTTTTGAATATGCACTCAAAATAATAGTGCACTTTGGAATATGCAACTTAACATGGCTAATAACAACATAACACATAACATAACATCATGTCCCGGTCATTAGTTTTAACAACAGTAGCCGTAGTATTTCATGCTGCGACACTAAATTCTTAACAAACAGACAGAAACAGTAGTAAACCCGATTTCGCATATCTATTAGAATATTTTATACTGTAAGTTGTGACTTCAAAGAGTATTGGAATTGTAATAGAAGCATTAGGAAATCGTTAAAAGTAATACGAATCAGGTCAGATGTGTGCGCGAAGTGTTCTCAATAGTTATAGCTGCTAGGAATGCCTTTGTAGTGGCATAAATCAATAGACAACCACTTGAAATAAGTTTTTCATAGTTTATTGGGATGTTCGCGTCATCGCTATTTTACTACTAGACTTATTACAAAGTCGCTTGTATCCTTCTATTTTTTCTGTATCTTTATCTTACCTGTTTCAGCAGCCAAGCAGATTGCTTCGTGTTTCTTAAGTTTTGTAATAGACGAGTATGAAATAATGCCAGAGTATACGCTGGCGAGAAACCAGTACAAAATGATAGGCTGAGCATGAAATCAGGTTAGTTTACTGATCGTGACGAATTCGTCTGTAATTAACTACTATATTTACCAGCGAAACGCGTGGAGGTCGACCTGATACATAGCTAGCGCTCTGACTTATATCCCTATACTAACACTACCTTTCCCCCGATATGACTGCAAAACCGTGGCATCCCTAATGTGTTGTCATTCAAAACACAGAGTGTTTTATCTCCGTAAGAAATTTGAAATTTTATTGCTTATGTTACTTTTCAAACCATATTACAGAGAGTCTTGCTTTGGTAAAATAATATGTATTAATTGTTTTTAATTTTCGACTTATAATCTTGATAAAAAGAAGTTCAGATTTATGAATAATATCATTGGATTTTTGGCATATTTAAAATATAAAGTATTAACAGTTATATATATACAAAGACTATATATAAGAAGAGAGATAAAGAGCTTATTTCGTTATGATGAAAGTAAGATCCGGAACAACACCGGTTTTAGAAATTCTTTCACTGCTTGGGTACATTAGATTTTTAGGTACATAATTACAGAGTTACAAAGGCTACCTATATACTATATTAATATACATATACCTACAACACGAGACGAGACGGACCAGTAGATGCTAGTTAAATAATGAACAAAATTCTGTCTAAAAAAGTTTACATCATAAATTTGTCTGCCCAATATCTTTATGCGTGATATCTAACCAAAGACGTTTTCACGTCATAATATTTAGATATAGTAACCGACTACTCATATCATATTATATTCTG